TGAACCTTAAATACTTTATCCACTTTTTTGTCATATAACAAATAAGCATGCCATCCATATAACAAATCATAACCTTCTAAATTCAAAATTCTCCCCTCAGTTAAATTAAACCAATCACTAATTTGTGATAAAACCGCTGCTTCATATATAATCTTAAATTAGGCATTTTAAGACCCCCTCTTTCATGTGTATCTTGTATAATTTTCATTTTTATTCTGGGTTTTTTCCCAGCCCAAATAAAAGTATTAACACCTTTCTGCCATTCTCTCAGATTTTCATCTTTCTTAAGCACAGGTATCATTTGGAACAAAAATAAAAATCTAGGTAAAACATTCATTTTAATTGCTGCAATTCTTCCCAATAAAGACAACTGTAATTTTTTCCAATTTTCCATATCCTTCTGTACCTTCTGCCAAAGTACCTCATAATTGTTTTTGTATAATTTTGTATTTGAAGCTGCTATGTATACCCCTAGATATTTAACCTTTTTAACTATTTCAAAATCTGTTAATCTTACTAGTTTATCTCTTTCAAGTATAGTCATATTTTTAACTATCATCTTTGTCTTATGTGAATTAACTCTAAATCCTGATACTTTCCCGTACTAATCAATTATATCCAATATATATGGAGCAGACTCTATAGGTTGGGATAAAGTAATAACCAAGTCATCTGCAAATGCTCTTAATCTATAATCTTGTTGTCTAATTACAATACCCTTCAATTTTTCTGAATCACGTATCTTGTTCAATAGTACCTCCAAAGTCAAAATAAATAATAGTGGGGACAGAGGACACCCCTGCCTTGTTCCTTTCTCAATTTTAAAAGCCTCTGTTAAACCTCCATTAACTATAATTTGTGCTGTTTGCTGCTGGTATATCGCTCTAATTGATTGTGTAAAATATTCCCCAAAGTGCATTTTCTCTATTATTTTGAACAAAAATTGCCAGTTCAAACGATCAAATGCCTTCTCTGCATCCAAAAATATAAACGCTGCAGGGACTTGATTATTTTTTTCCAAATATTCCAGTAAGTTTACAATTTGTCTAACATTATATCTCATTTGTCTCCCTTTTATAAACCCTGATTGATCATTGTGAATTATTTGTTGCATAACTGGCATTAATCTATTAGCTAATATTTTAGCAAAAATCTTATAATCAGTATTCAGAAGTGAAATTGGCCTGAAATTCTCAGGTTTAATGGAATTTTGTTCCTCCTTTGGAATTAGTGAGACAAAGGCTGTTTTCCAAGAAGGTGGTACTCCTCCTCCTACTTGTATTTTATTAAATAAAATTTTGAGTGGTTCTAACATTTCAGATTGTAAATGTTTATAATAAACAGCTGTTAGTCCATCTGTTCCCGGAGCCTTACCTATTTTTAATTGTTTAATTGCCCCAACAATTTCCTCGGAAGTTATTGGCTGATTCAGTCTCTCTCTCTGTTCCAGCGTTAATTCAGGAATCTCCATCTTTAAATATCTATCAATATCAACATCTTTACCTCTAAATTCTATCTTGTCTATAACACGTGATTTCTGTTTTTTCCTCATCGTGTAAGCCAACCATCTCCCAGGTTTATTAGCATTACAAAATGTATTATGTCTGGCATATTGTATGCTGGTTGCTACTTGCCCAGCCATTAACATATTAAATTGCTCTCTTAAGATATTAATCATATCTTTTGCCTTTTTATCTCCCGGGTTAATTATAAGCAATTGTTCTTTCTTTTTAATTTCCTCCTCTATCTCTTTCCGTCTGTTTTGTTGTTTTAATCTATATTTATTATTCAAAAAAATTAATGTTCCTCTCATATATGCCTTACACGCATCCCATACCATCTCCATCGAAGTTCCTTTATTCATATTGTTAATAAAAAATTCTTTCATTTGTTTTTTAAGCTCACACAAGTTATCTTCATATCTAAATAAATTCTCATTTAACCTCCAAGACCTCCTTTCCCCTCTTTCCTGCTCTAGTTCCACCCAAACCGGGCTGTGATCAGTTACAGTTCTTGGACATATCTTCGTATTCTTCACCCTAGAAAAAAGATCATTTGTAGTTAATATAAAATCAATCCTAGAAAAAGATTGATGCCTATCTGAAAAAAAAGTAAAATCACTCTCCAATACGTTCCTTTCTCTCCAAATGTCTCTAAGCTCCATATCCTCCAAGATATCAAAAAAAGATTTAGGCAACTTAGCACGCATGGAAATCTTGGAAAGACTTTTTTTATCTTTCTGGGTATTTAATACCCCATTCCAATCACCCATTAGAAGTAAAGATCTATAATCCCATTGTAATATTTTGGTATGTAAAAGTTTGTAAAATTTATCTTGTTGTTGATTAGGTGCGTATACTCCAATTACAAGCAGCTTCCCATTCTGTGTTGTTAATTCGATTGCAATATATCTACCTTGAGTGTCAGCCTCAATTAAATTGGCCACTAAACCTCTTTTAATGTATATAACTAGTCCATTTTTCTTTTCTGGTGCTGATGCCACAAAATGTGTACCTAATTTCAAATTTATCAAGTACTTTTGATCTGAGGATTTAATATGCGTTTCTTGCAAAAAAATTACATCGTTCTGAAATTGCTTCAAATAGTAAAATATTTTCTTTCTTTTTTGTGGAGAATTTAAACCGTTAACATTCCAAGATAAAAATTTATTTGCCATCTCTGGGCATTCCAAGCTTTGAGAGCATAGCTGAACCTCCTCCGCCATTTTAGACTTCGGCCTAGCTCCTCCCACTGCTTGTGTTTTTTGGGCTTGTTGGGTTGAATCTTGAGGCTGTTGTGCCAGATGTTGTTTGTAAGTAGCTCTTGTCAATCGCTGATCTTTTGGCAGCTGTATCATCGTTAATGACTCAAGGGTTGGTGGTGGACCCCCACTCAATAGTGGATCTTCTTCCAGATTGGCTCCTCCAGCTAGTGCTTGAGCATAAGTTTGTGGTTGCCCTCCATCTTTCTCTTGTTGTGTAATTTCCAATTGCTTTCTAGCACCCCCTGGTGAGGGTGGCCTTCCAGCCTTTAAAACATTAGCGTAAAAATCTTTTGCCTTTCCAACTGTGTTTAAACGATATCTTTGCCCAGCGTATGTCACTATTATCCCAAATGGAACATCCCGTCTGTACTGGAGCTGCTGGTTTCTTAGTTCATTCACCAAAAAACCAAACTGCTTTCTGTCTCTTAACATTTTAGGAGGAAGCTCTTTCAGGACCACCAGCTCTTGTCCCTCCACTTTAGTCTTGTTTCTGTAAGAAGCTTGCAAAATATCATTTCTAACTCTCCTTGTTGTAAAATAAATCACCACATCTCTTGGTAGCTGTTTTTGTTTTGCCAGCCAGGAATTGACCCTGTAAATTTTGTCCACTTGAATTGCCACATCTTCTGGCCTTTCTGAGATCAGCTCTGCTAAAGCGTTGGAGCAAACATCTTTTAAATTTTCACCACTCTTTTCTTTCAAACCTCTCAGCCTCAGGGCAAATTCCATTGATCTGTATTGTAACATAACCATTTCGTCATCCATTTTCTCTGTTTGTATCATAACCTCTCCTACTTTAGTTGCAAGCTCCAAGTTAGCATCATCAATTTCCCGTACTCTCTCCTCAATCTTTAACATATGAGTAGCCAGTCCTGAAACTGCATAAACAATGTCATCTCTTATTTCATCATCCGATCCGGAGCAATGGGAGGGGTGAACTGGGGAGCTCTCACCCTCCGAGTCCCTGGAATTAATCCAGTGACTTACGGGGAGCTCTACCCACCCCCTCCGACTCTCCTCTCCTTCTTTGCCCGAAGGAGAGTTTTTTCAAACCGCCGGACAGCTGTTTAGTGCTGTCAGGGCGGTTTTTACAGATCGGGTGGCTGGCGGTCTATGGAGGCCGTCCTCGTCGTCCACGGAGCCACCGGAAGTCAAAAATAATATTTTCAATGGTCAACATTTTAACCCACATGCTTACTATTTTTTATCCTTAAATATTTATGATGAAGTTCATCAGATTTTGAGACTCTAGAAAGAGTGAAGAGAAGAGTAACAAAGATGATTAGGGGACTGGAGGCTAAATCACATCAAGAACTGGGTATGTCTAGTTTAATGAAAAGAAGGACTACAGTCGATTCATGTCTATTTATATTTAAATGTTATTCTAGTGTCCATTACACTACTTGTAAAATAATTAACTAACCTATGTAATTCTAATTTTAATACATATTTATTAAGATATATTTTATGAAGGATTCCAACAATATTCTTCATTGCTTTTTCAGATCAGTTTTGAATTTTTTTCAGAGTCACTGCGTGATAAAAGTCAACTGCCCTTTTATCACCGACTTCGACCCTCAAAAGGCATCCTGTACCCAGGAATTATCCGAGTGCTCCTCCATTTTAGATGGACCTTGATTGGTCTTTTTGCTACAGACACAGAAAATGGAGAGAATTTTTTGAGGACTTTGACTCCTTTGCTTGTCCAGAATGGAATTTGTGCGGCTCTATCACAACAATTCTCGACAACTGGAGATACAGCATACATCAGGAATGCCCTCTCTAAATGGAGACAAGTCAATGTCTTTCTTCACTATATAGAATATGGTGCCGTTTTGGACAGAATTCTTCCTTTCCATTTAACATTTATGCATTTGCCAGGACCCGTTGTAGAGAAAGTCTGGATCACCACACTCATTGGACTATTTCCACTGAAAAATGACAGACATCTCAAATATATTAATAGTATCTGGACTGTTGCTGTAGAGGAAAAAAATCAGCCGATAAAGGATGCCTTTGAACCCAGTTTCTTAGTGAACCCACCCTTAGGAGAACAGTCATTTCTTTGTCTTTTTTCAAAGCACATCTTTTCTGTCAAAGGCCGGAAAAGATGCATTGAGAAAGATCCACTGGGCACCCAAAAGAAAAAGAACATGATTGCAATCAACAATGTCCACCATTTTTACACTGCCGTTAACACTCTAGCCCAGGCCTTGAATGCTGCGTATTCCTCCAGATCCAGGTGGAGAAGGAAGAAGGTGAAACAAAGGTTGGGGGCTCCGAGACTGCAGCCGTGGGAGGTAAGGGGTCCCGACAAGGATCCATTCAACAATTTCCTTTTGAGAAGGGATCCAAAGGAGAAGGAAGGGAACTATATTAACATTAACAGAGTTGGAAGGGACCTTGGAGGTCATCTAGTCCAACTCCCTGCTCATGCAGGAGACCTGTACTAGGGATTCAAACACCGAACTGCTGACCTTTCTGATCAACAAGCTCAGTGTCTTAGCCACTTGAGCTACCTAGTCAGGCTCATTCTAGTTGTGCTACAGAATGCCAAAAGGTTTGGCCAAAGTAATTACTCAGGTGATAGTGTTCACAAGAGCAGGAACTATGACAGATATTGTTTGATATTAAACACTCCTAATATTTAAAACATGTGTGCATTTTTAAACAAGTTCCTGTACATATGGATTTATGATTAGCATTATAGAATTTTACCTTTATACATTTGCAGGAATCTTCCACTCAACGTAACTCGGCCTCTCATCTCCACAGGAATCCCAATTAAAGCTTCCCTGATTGATGGCTGCTCAGTCTTTGGATTAAGACAATCAGTGAAGGGGAGACTGAAATTCTCTGGTTCTCTGGCTCACCACTAAAACTCTCCCTCTTTTAAGAAGCTTTTTTCTCCCTCGTATTCAGTCAGAAAGGGACGTGGTGGGGACTTCCGGTGGCTCCATGTTCCCCGAATGGATGCTCCTTCAGGAGCTCCAGCCCCGTGATTCCGTTTGCCGCTAGAACAGTGAAAATCAGCTGTTCTAGCAGCTCAAAACTCTCCCCCAGGGAAAAAGGGGGAGAGAAGAGCAGAAGGGTCTGGGTAGAGCTCCCCTACATCCCCAGGCTTTTTTTTTAAGCATGGGGTTTGCAGGGTGAGAGCTCCCTGAAAGCTCTTCAGTGCTCCAGATCTGGGACGATTCTGCTTTAAGCAGAACAAGGGGTCGCGACCACACCAGCAGCGCAGTTTTAAGGATTATGAGGAAATTCAAATCTGGATGCTGGCAGAGCAAATCAGGAGAACACGAAATGCAAGTATTAAACTTTAACTCTGTTTAAAAGAAAAAGCAAAAAAGATGGCGCTTAAGGGCATTTTAACATGAAAGTTACAAGTTAAAGTGATCGTTAAAGCTGCAACATTGTAAACGTGGCAAGAAACAGATTTAAAGTGCTAGTGAAATGAAAAAGACTATGGTATTGATCTTAACTACTTTATACTTCTAAATTGTGTGGAAAATTATTGGATTTATTGACCTGATAGCTGAACAAATTTAAAAATAACTGGACTTTGGAAAAAAAGAAAAGAAAATGGCTGGCACCTTTGAAAGTGCTGAAGGACTATTATTACACACACCAGCAAATACACAAATAAGAGCTATAATACATGAAATTTTTGAGTCACAAACCACTGCTTTACTGGAAAGTCTTAAAGGTTTTTTTGATGAAAGGTCTCAGGAAGAGGAAACCGTTTTGACTCAAAACATGGAGACAAAGGAGAATATAGTATCATTTCAAGGCTTGTTAGACAGTAGTGAGCTGTTGGAACAAGATGGGGCAGAAACTCAGTTTAATGTGACTTTGGACAAAAGGATGCTTTCCAGACCAAGAGGGGAAAGCAAAGGAATCTGGACGAGTTTAATCAGGAGGACTTGAGAGAGATTTATGGGGGTTTCAAATTAAATGAAATTCAAAAACTTTCAAAGAGACATCAACCTCAAATCCAAATTTTAAAATTCTCAAAAATAAAAGCAGGAGGAGGAGCAATGCTGAAGAAGAAAGAATTATCGAAGAAAAAGGACTGGAAAAAATATAGAAAGAAGGGAAGAACTGAAGATTCATCTTTTTTGGGGAGGGTTTTAGCAATAGGTTGAAAAGCTTAATTAAATTTGTGTTTTTAAAGTTTATTCTAAGATAATAATTTAAAGGGTGTGTGTCATTACAATTGGTTCTGGATATAAGAATGATAGCTTCTTAAGAGTTCTCGAGGTATCAAAATGGTTAATTAAAATTTGAGGGACACTGAAGTGGTCCAGGAATAACGAGAGGCACAACCAAGCAAGTGACAACAGCTCTTTAATATACAGTGAGACTTCAGCAAAAACTCAGGGGCTGACAGGAGGGACTGTCAGCCAATCATAAACTTAGGGAGGTTTGAATTTCCCGCTGAAAAGTATCAATACATAACAGACACCTTTCTGAAGGGTTTGAAATTTATATTTTGAGAAATGACTTAATGTCTTATTGATGTATTAAGAGATTTTTAAAATGTTTAACATAAGATTATAGTACTTTAAGAAGGTATATGAGATAAAATGTTTAAAGTTTTAAAATGTCTAATTTTATGAAGGATTAAAGAGGATAAATGTCTAATTTAGAACTTCATTAGGGAGCAATGTTGATTGAGGAAGAAGGACTGGAAAAAATATAGAAATGGTTAATTAAAAATTTAAGGGATAGTTTCCTGAAGGTTTTGAAATTTATATTTTGAGGAATGAACTAAGAAGGTCTTATTGATGTATAAAGAGGGTTTTTAAATTTATATTTTGAGGAATGAACTAAGAAGGTCTTATTGATGTATAAAGAGGGTTTTTAAAATGTTTAATATAAGATTATACTATTTTAAAAGGTATAGGTGATAAAATGTTTAAAGTTTTAAAATGTTTAATTTAGAATTTTTAATGCTGAATAGTTAGAAAATGATAATTGGTTTATGAAGGAATAAAGAGGATAAATGTTTAATTTAGAATCTTATTAGGGAGCCATGTTGAAAAAGAAAGGTGTCTGAGGGATGAAAATGAAATTTATCAATATTTGTTAATGCTTGTAATATTGTTAAAGCTATTGGATTACATACCAAGAAAAAGGCTCTTATATTCAGGAAGAAAGAATTTAATCTAACTGATTTTGAGAATTCACATTTAGAAGTGACTGCCTGCGAAGGCTCCTGGATTGGGGCTGAAAGGTGAAAGCAGTATGCTCTGTCCCATATTTGGGTGGACCAGATTGCCTTGATAGACCGGTCTCAGCGGAAAAACACTTAACTGGTGGTCATGAAATTCCATTTCACCAGGATTTGACCACCTGTCTGCAAGGAGTCTAAATCCTTCCATTCCCCACCATCCAGTCAGAGCTGAAGAAGCTTCTTGGATGAAAAGTGAAATGTCTTCAAATAAAAACCAGAAACTCCCGTTGCCTCTTGAAAAATGTACCTTTGGGTCAGGTTTTAGTGATTAAGGGGTTCTTTTTTTTATGGGGAGCTGTATAAAAATCATATGAAAATAAAATTAATCTGACAGTAACCTTACAATAATGTAAAATTAGCTGGTCTGGATAGGTTTCCAGTATAGTCTTCTGGGAAAATATTAGCCTGGCAACTTTCTTCTTAACAAATCCATGCTTTCCGGTAATCACCTGTTGTTTTCAATGAATTTATAAATATTCTCTTCATTTGTGTAATTTATCTGTGATCTGCTCTAGAATGTTTCCTATCATTGACAAATTTTATAAATTATCATTTTTTTTCAATACATAAATTGGCAGTATATGATTGACAAATTTTGCTGCATTTTTCTTTTTCATTTTTGAAGATAGTGGTAAAAAAATCTGGCCTGACCTAAACTTTTCCTCTTTTTAAATGGGAATTTTAATTTGGTTTTAAATTATTGGGGTTTTAAAATGGTTCAGCCAAATTTATTTAATTTGTTTTATCTCTATTTTAAATTTTGTATCTACATGTTTTATTTTATGGCTGTTCACCGCCCTGAGTCCTTCGGGAGTAGGGCGGTATACAAATTTAATAAACAATAAACAAAACCAGGTGTGAAGTTTCCAAAAGATGCCCTAATTAATTCATGAGCCATGAGCCAAACTTCAAAAGAAATACAGTCATTTATTAGGAGCACCATTTTGGCAATATTCGGATGCAGTTAGAACTAATCCCACGTAGATTTACATTCCCCTATGACCCTATCTCTCCTCTCCTCCCTGGCCATGTCATAAATCACATTCTCCAATTAATCACTTTGGCTGATTGTGAAATTCAACACCCTTCTTCTGTTTGCAGAAAGAAAGCATGTATGGAATGTAGCTTCAGTTAGGGAAATCAATCAGCTCTATCAGTTCTCCCTCCCTCCTGCTCATGGCAACTTGAAAGCTTTGCAAATTGACATTAGGGGTGAAATCCAACAGGTTCTGATAGCTTCTGGAGAACCAGTAGTGGAAATTTTGAGTAGTTTGGAGAACCGGCAAATACCACCTCTGACTGGCCCCAGAGTAGGGTGGCAATGGAGATTTTGCAATATCCTTCCCCCAGGAGTGGGGAGGGAATGGAGATTTTTGCAGTATCCTTCCCCTGCCATGCCCACCAAGCCACGCCCACAGAAACGGTATTAAAAAAAAATGGATTTCACCACTGGGTAAAACCTGTTCTTCCAAATAAGACCACTGTAATAGAAGAAAGATTCAAGTGAGAACAGACAAAAAGGGATAATTGTTTACTAATTTTAAAATTCCTGAATGTTCCCATTCTAGTTCCATCCCTTTCTGGAGAAGACTGAATTTCTCAATCTTTCCATATATGAAATGTACTTGGACCAAAATGGAGATTTAGCAGCTAACCTGAAGATTATGTGCTGGGTGTTTTTCCCTGAGAAATATGTCATCAAAGAGAAAGTGGTAACTTTTGAAAGACAGAGGATCATTATCAACCAAACTCTTTTGTCATGGCTAAAGTCGCGTAACAGGGTAAGAGAAACATTGGTGTCTTTTCTCCCTTTTCCAAAGGACTGTGATCCATTTCATTGGGCTAAGCCTACGCACCATGGCTTACAGTTGAAATGGAGAAGCCATGTGAAGATGATAAAAGACCTTCAAGTGCTAGGAATGATAGCCTCAGGCTGTCCTCCAGTTGTAAAAGAAGAAGGCAATTTTGTTGACCAGTGCCTGAGTTCAGGTTTGGATTGAATTCAATGAAATTGACTTTAGATTGGATATAGGTCCTTTTGGTTCCAGTGGGAAATAAGCTTTGTAATCAGGATTCACCTTGTCCTTGTTGGGGTTGAGTGTCCCATGAAAGGGCAGTCAAGATATTTTTTAAGAAACTCAGACCTCTTGGAGTCCTATGGACAACCATTTAAATATGAGCCAGCAGTGTGCAGCAGCTGCCAAAAAAAAAAAAGCCAACACAGTTCTGGGCTGCATAAACAGAGGGATAGAATCAAGATCACGTGAAGTGTTAATACCACTTTATAATGCCTTGGTAAGGCCACACTTGGAATATTGCATTCAGTTTTGGTCATCATGATGTAAAAAAGATGTGGAGACTCTAGAAAGAGTGCAGAGAAGAGCAACAAAGATGATTAGGGGACTGGAGGCTAAAACATATGAAGAACGGTTGCAGGAACTGGGTATGTCTAGTTTAATGAAAAGGACTAGGGGAGACATGAGAGCAGTCTTCCAATATCTCAGGGACTGCCTCAAAGAGGGAGTCATGCTATTCTCCCAAGCACCTGAGGGCAGGTCAAGAAGCAATGGATGGAAACTAATCAAGGAGAGAAGCAACTTAGAACTAAGGAGAAATTTCCTGACAGTTAGAACAATTAATCAG